CTCACGAGGTTGTTGCAGAACGACGGGAGGGTTGGTAGCGCTGGTCATGGTGCCTGCGTTGATTATCGTGGTTTTTACGTCTTCTTTCCTTTTTTTATCCGGGAGCAGTTCAAACTCATGCTGAAGGCCTTGCTGTCGGTGGCTGACACGAGTTGGGCGTGCTTGTCGGCTTGGCAATGGCTTAGGGTTCATGTACCCCGCACCTCCACCAGATGTCACGCAGCAAAGGACGACGCAGTTGTCTATGAGGAAAACAAGTTTATTGGAGCGAACCTGTGCTCCCCTGACAACTGAAAAAAAATACACAGGCGGCGAAGCAGCGGCCAGCAAAACGAGGGGCACGCTAGTGAGCGTCGGCGATCGAATGACGCGGCATCGGCTGTGCGGGAATTTATATCTCTCGGCGCGAGGGTTTCTCGAATAGTCGAATTGTATCGGGAACGCCGTGATAGCGTTTGTTAGAAACGCTGTTCGTTCGAACAGCGCCTCTAACAAACAACGCTTGAAGCGTTGTTTCTATCGAACAACGCCTGAAGCGTTGTTCGATAGCGTTTGTTCGAAACGCTGTGGTAGCGTTTCTTCGAAACGCTGTGAAAACGGTGATAGCACAGGCCGGCGCAGCCAGGCAGAAAAAACAAAACACAAATAAACGAACCCAATGCATGAGTCGCGGCAATATACTTCTAGGGTGTTCCGGTTCAAACGTAAGGGCAACAGAGGATTTTTGGGTAAGGTCGATAGGGCAGCTTCACCTCCAGAAGCTGCGCAGCCTAGTTTTCCGGGGACATGTGGCGGTTAAACGATGGTGAGGGAGAGCGGCGACGCGTATTCGAACGAGAAGGGCGGCTTTGAGGTGGTGGCGACGACGGGACAGGGTGGCCGTAGTCCTCAGGGGCAGTAAATGCTGTAGACTCAGTGCGGGTCGGATAACGGTGGTTTGGTGGACGGAATGAGTTACTGTAAGCGGAGTACGAGCCAGACATAGATGGCCATTGGCTTCGGCAGTAACGAGCGATGTGTCCAGCGTGACCACAGCGGAAGCAGATCGGCTTATTTATTTATTTATTTATTTATTTTATTTTCCTCAAGGGTCCCTAACAGAAGGGACATTACATGAGGGGTGGGCATACAAGAAGAGGGGGGCGGTAACAGGTACATTTGTTTGAGGACTCTGGATGAAAACATTTTTCAGTGACAAAAGGTACCACTTAAAAGATTTCGAAACATTGCCAAGTACACAAAATATACATACAGCCATACTAGGGAGATGACACTAGAAACCATTATACAAGAAATAGCATGGCAGGTAACAGTTCAGTTAGCTATTACAGTTCAGTGATGGTTGTCAGGGAATTTTTAAAGGCTTCTGCATCCTGAATGCTAACAATGGTTTCCGGTAGGGCGTTCCATTCCTTAGCTGTCCGAATGAAGAAAGATTCTGCAAATGTGGTAGTTTTGGGACGAGGGTAATGTACTTGCATAGTGTTGCAACAACGATCAGAGAAATGGGGGCGTTGGGTGACGTAAATGCTGGATGGGGATGCGTGATAGAATTTGTGGAATAATGCGAGCCGCGCAGTTTTTCGGCGTTGACTAAGGGGAATGAATGCGGCACGTTTCTTTAAGTCTGTTACACTGGTGAACGATGAGTAATCGGAAAAGGCGAATCTGGCAGCGCGGTTTTGGATGGCTTCTAGGTTTTGGATGAGATAATGCTGGTGTGGGTCCCAAATTGCTGCGGCGTACTCCAGTTTGGGGCGTATTATTGTGGTGAAAGCTAATTTTTTTTTAAGTGGCTGGGAGCAAACTTCAGGGTTCTTTGGATATAACCTAAAGATCTACGAGCTGTTGAAATGACGTGATTGATGTGGAGGGTCCATGATAGATCACTTGAGATATGTATTCCAAGGTATTTATACGAGCTAGTCAGTTGTAGAAAACTGTTATGTAGGGTGTAATTGTACACTAACGGATTAGTACGTCTGTGAAAAGACACTGATCTACATTTGGAAATGTTTAAACTCATCTGCCACTTGTGGCACCAATTTTGAACGGCTGTTAGGTCTGTTTGTAAAGCTATTTAATCCTTATGACTAGAGATTGTTGCGTAAATAACGCAATCGTCGGCGAATAATCTTATATTGTTAGTAATACAGTGTGGAAGGTCGTTGATGTAAATCAGGAAAAGCAGGGGGCCAAGTACTGTTCCCTGGGGAACACCGGAGAGGACGGGAGAGATTTGAGACTTGGCTTATCATCAGCTGTTTGCCATTCAGACGAGTTCCTGGTTCGAATAGAGTACGGACGGCGACGTCTCATGTCCACAGAAGCTATCGAGAGACCAGTATTATCCAGGGTGGGTGCAGTGGAGAGGATACCAAGGATAGCGAATTCCTGGCGGACAACAGCCTGGATCAAGGCGACAGCTGGCGTTGAGGCGTCGGGCAACGTCGGTTTGTTGGCAGCCGGGTAAGCGGCCTCGAGTTCAAGTCGGACGATGCGCGTCACGTCTTCGGTCGTAGACGGATGACAAGGAGTGGCTTCGCAAGACGACGTTGCCGCGGTGTTGGGTAGGCGCTGAAACTGCTGCAAAATGCGTCGACTCTTCGCCTGCTCGAGACGGCGGCACTATTTGATCACGGCGTCGATGGTCGTTACGTTGGTAAATACAAGCAGGCTGAACGCATCGTCGGCGATTCCTTTTAAAACGTGCGAAATCTTGTCGGCCTCAGTCATGTTGGGATCGGCCCTTTGACACAACGCTAAGACGTCTTGAATATAAGTCAAGTAGGGCTCAGTGGACGTCTGTGTACGTACGGCCAATTGCTTTCGGGCATCAAGCTGTTGACCAAACGGGTTGCCAAAGAGGTCGCGGAGCTGTTGTTTAAACATTTCCCAGCTTGTGATTTCGTGCTCGTGGGTCTCAAACCAGATGCGAGGGGTCTTGTCAAGATAAAAAATGACATTCGCAAGCATAACGGTTGGGTCCCAGCCATACAGCTTGCTGACGCGCTCGTACATGCTAAGCCGCTTGTCCACATTCGCGTTGTCCTCTCCAGTAAAGGTACCGGGATCACGGGGTTGCGTTAGGGCGACGTACCTGGTTGCTGTCGTTGCTGAGGTAGGTGGAGAAGCCGTATCCTCACCCGGAGCCATGGTAGCAGACTTAAGGAGGCGTCCACTGCGTAGCTCCGTTGTCAGAAGAGTACCCAGCACCTCCACCAAAATGTTACGTGGAAAATAACAGTTGTCAGTCCGCAGCCACAACGCAGCTCACCAACAACGTCCACTTCTTTACTATCAGTCTGAGGCACCTTTCTTGGGTATGCCCCACTATGCCCTCTTTCAGTCAGACGAAATCACGTAACAATATATTATAAAAAGAAGCGGGATGACGCTACTTGAAGTGTTCACTAGATGGAAGAATAGATGGACGCACAGGCGAACAGACAGACAAGCAGATGGACAGACAGACAGACGCACGGAAGGACGGACGCATAGACGGACCCACGAACGGACGCACGAACGGGTGCACATACGTATGTATGGATGTACGGACGAAAGCACGGACACATTGACGAACGCTTTGCCACACTCGTCATCATTGATTCTGTGGATATGCTGTGATTTTTTTTTGTTTTTACTAGCGGAAAAAACCCTTCGTAGTATAAATACTGTTAAGGTGTGCTCAGAGCAGTTTCAATTTTTTGCCCGAATTATTGATATCGGGTGGACTACCAGCACTGAAGTGAGAGGGGGGAGGGTTTACACAGACAGGGGAGGGGCGATCACCCCCTCTCTCTCAATCCGCCACTGCTTTTGTACACGAACTCTACGTCGATGCGGAAACACTTTACCGCCCCTAAAGTTGTATCTAAGCGGTAATTAACAGATAATCCTTTACAAACTTTTAAATTATCAGCCTGAAGAGACTCTTTGTAGCACGTGACAATTTATGACAAATCCATCTCTTAGAAATCTTATAAAGCACACCTTCGAAATTCAAGGCCTCAATCGAGGCTATATGAAAACAGCGTGCCGAAGCAAACGCCGCCGCTGTGTTACGTCAGGCCGGAGCTGCACAAGACACAATAAACAAAAATACGCATCGTAGCAGAACCTGGTTAAAAAAAAAAAGCAGCAAGTCTTCTCAAGTGCACACGTGCAGGTTTATTCTCTGCTCTTGATCCGTAGTGCATATCTGAATAAGCGCAAAGAGCTTTCTCGCTCGTCTGCAAGAAGTGCTACAGTGGCCGCTCCCTATAGTGTAAAGCTGGAGAAAAAAAAAGTGGAAGTTGCACTTTTCTTTGGTATTGCGCGAAAGAATAACATAAGCACACATGCAAAGACGAAGCACACTTATCGATGACTTCCGCGATTCTATGTGCAACGTGCGCCATTTTGATTGTTAGGCACGCCGTATAGTGGAGGGCTCCGGTAATTTGTACCACCGGAGTTTAACGCGCACCTATCGATCCAAGTACACAATTCTCTCGCATTTCGACCCCATCGAAACGTGGCAGCCAAGGCCGCTATGAAACTCGCGACCTTCTGGCCAACAGATGATGTACACTTATTTCACGGATCCAATGGAACAAGTGTCTGTAAGTCTGTCAGTGACAGAGAACAGTAACGAAGTATGGTGTGCAGTCTGCATGTCAGTTCGCTCTATCGATAGAGCGAACTGACAGACTGCACACCATCTATCGATAGAGTGAACTGACAGAGAACAGTAACGAAGTATGGAGTGATTTGGCTTACCTTTACGTACGCCATAAAAAAAAAAACGCATCTGAGAATAAAATAAAGCAGAGTAAATGCAGTGTTGCACATTTCACTAAAGCGAGCTGTTTTACAGCGCTTTCTGCAAATTTTCATTTTCGCTGCGCTTTGTGCCGGTCAACATAAAATACTGATAATCGCAAAAAACAGTTAATTAATCGCCAACTGATTTCAAGTTTAGCGTATATAATTGTACCAGAAAGGAAAACAAACGCAAGTTGAACAAAAGTAGATGAAGTTTATTAGAGGCACATACGAAAGAACACAGTGAAAACATATAACAATAAAATAAAGGAGCGCATTTATAATGGGACAGGATCGGCTCGTGCAATAAAATGTAAATGTCGATAACAGGGGTAAAGCATTTCGTTAGAACACAATGTCGTAGCTTTCGCTAAACACACTAAGCTCGATATACGATACGAATACGAAGGGGGCGATGTAGGGCTCGCACCAAAAACATCAAAAACTTTTCATACATGCACGCACACACTCCACGCGCAGAAAAACGGACACAAAACCATTACGAAAAAAAGCATCACGAGCTCTTTCCACAGAGAAAAACAAAAAAAAAACAATATTACGAGCTATGTGCTCGCGTGCGAAATTCGACTCGCCAAACCTGTCTATTTGACGATTATATATGCACTCGAGAAGAAAAAAACTGCGCGAGGCGGGATGCCAGCACGCGCTTTTGGACGGCTTTGAATATCGCGAAGTCGTTCAAGGCCAGGGATGGAGGAGCAAGCGGGTCCATCACTTGAGGTCGGGCGTTGAGGCGCCCAGATAGGACTGCAGGTCCCTGACCGTGGAGCGGAAGAGTTTAGCCTTGGCTGTGGGCAGGCCAAGTCGCCGGTATGCCTCGTAGCGGTGACAGCCTCCGAACGAGTAGTAATAGTTACCGCCCTCGCGGCCCGTCACCCAGAGCACGTCGAGGGGAGGCACCGAGTCCCGCTGGGCCGGATCCTGCGGAGGACCAGGATGCATTACGAAGCGAGCGATTTCAGCGCTGCGAGCAAACAGCCAATTTTTTTTTTCATAATATGCGTTCAGGGGTTCGTATTAATAAGAACAATGAAAGAGATTAACATGCACGCGCGCGCATGCGTGCACACATACACGCAGACGAAGAGGGACACGAAGAACGTCGAGAAAGGCAGTGAATTGTAGTTTAAAAACTGCTTAGTTTTACTCCATTTTTACTCAAGAAGGAAAAAAGGACCTACATCGAAAAATGTCATGGCTAAAGAAAAATGTCGACTAAATTGAACTTAATAGTACTATGAAGGGTAGAGGTGTAAGTTTCTCACTTGCATCGTAGTGAAAGTGAGAAACCGGGGGTAATGGAGCCGGTGCTCAAGCCGGACTAAAAGCGCATTGAGTAAGGCACAGGAAATAAATTTGGCATTGTTATTCTAGCGTTGTGCTTGTCTAGAACAAATTATAACATCCAATTAGGGCATACAGGGCATTTCAAGAAAAGTGTCCAATATTCTTTAAAAATTACAGAAAGGAGGTATCTGCGAGCTATTTGCGGCGTTGCCTTCCTGTGGCAGGAGGCATGTTCAGATTGGTTCAGACATTAAGTATGGCAGTAATTATCAAGACTAACACAATTAACATTTTAACGAGTAGTGATAGCCGGTCGAGTCTAATGGGCGAATTCAAGCCCTTCCTACGAATAGTCCATAGCCACTTTGAAAGTTTGGAAAAGCAGCCACTGGTAATAACCGCGGAGCGATGCAATCTGGCCAGTTTAGCTGGCGAAACCCAAACCGACGCACCAAACAGCACATCTACCATTCACTTCGACAGCATTCTCAATGACGACACTGTTTACCTCACATTGCCGGAGAAGAATAAGCGAGCGTCCGGCCTCGAAGAGAAGTGTCTAAATAGGTGAACAGTAATATGGGAAATTTCAGAGAACTGAGCGATGCGACGGCTTCCGGTTCGACGCACCACGCGGGTTAGCGGAGGCACGCGCGCATTTTCGTACCGCTCCGTTGAAAAAAGCACCTCTTCGTGGAATGTCAGTGCTTTAAAGTTGGTTTTTTGTTTATGCTAACTGTGACTGCGTCGGTGACAAGCTACAAAAGCCATGAACGGTACGAAAACTTTTTTATCACATTAAAATGATCTTCAGTGCTTTTATGCCGCTCGAAGTTACCGTCAGTTTGGCTAGCAGATCAGTCGGTACAGAAGACAGTTTTCATAGGATACGTTACTGCAGATAAAAAATCACAAATTTAAAGATCTAAGGGGATGGGGGATGATAGCAGTGTGCAAAGAGTTTATTTCGGGATCGCTGCTTCGGCCGACATCGTCAGTCGATCGACATAAAGCGCATCACTCATTGAACGCGTTGAGATATCTTTCTTGTTTCTTTATAGCCTTCAGCGCGCTATAAGATGCAGTTTTAGTCTAAGCCACATGCTTATTCGGACGCTTATCTTGGTCAAGCTGCGTGGAACAGCGGCATACAAACAATGCTGTCAAACATAGACGTTGCCAGATAATCGAAACACTGCGCTTATTTAACACACTTCTTCCTTTGTGTGCCGTCCTGGCGCACAGTTTGACCTAGATAAACTCCAATAGACTCGTCCAGCACTTCGTGTAAACTGAACCTGCGACCTTCGAATGACGCAGGTTTGGTTTCTGCCCACGGCAAGTTATCTTTTCACCCACTTTTCTTTCTTCACATTTACATTACGATTCAGTCTAATAACTTCCCCTATACTTTCCTTGGCATTATTATCTGTTAGATCTCATTATTATTGTGTCAATATATATATATATATATATATATATATATATATATATATATGTGCGTGCGCCTTTCTAAGGCATTAAACTGAAGAAAGACGCTCCGGTCATTGCGGTATAGGCTTTACAACTTCATCCGTTCCGCCTTGGGGTCTCAGAAGCTGAAGACCACGCGAACTGCGCCCTAAAAATTGTTCAATGAAACTCACATTTGTTAATTTCCAAGACTAAGTGATTTGAGAATACCATATCGAAAGCTGTAGTAGTTACATTTTTTTAAAATAATAATGCAACGCTATGCGTTTGTATCGAATGCCCCGCCGAGGTGGTGTCTATCGTTTATGGCGCTCGACTGCCGACGCCAAGGTCGCGGGATCGAATCCCGCGGCTACAGCACGCGAATTCCGGTGGAAGCATGACGTTGGAGGCCCTTGTAGTAAGATTTCGGTGCACGTTAAAGGGGGGAAAAAAAGGATGCCTTCCAATCACTCCCTGTTTTCGGGACATAAAACCCCGACAATGGTTAGTTTCCATCGAATGCCATTCGTGCTCGAGGTGTGATGCTTGGCTGCAGCACCCCCACCTCGCATAATTTCGATTCTAATTCTGGACAAGTTTATGGCACAAAAAATTAGCCAGACAGAGGAAAATGCAGTAACTAAAGGTAATTTGTACTCTCATAGTTCACCAAAGAGTGACGTGCACACGAGAGGTTAATCGGAACCACAGTCGCACACTGGCGCAATTGCGTCGTTATAAATGTCTCTGTACAGAGTGGCTAAAAAGTATAAAAAAAGTTCACCTGTAGGCAGAGAACGACCAGACGCGTGCACTGCATGCACAAAAAAAAAGAAAAAAAAAACCCCACAGGTTTCAGTATTTGAAGCACGCACGCCTCATTTCATGCAATCCACGGAGTGAGCGCACTGCACACTGCCAGCAGGTCTGTTTGTCTGCTTCGGTGGCCTTGGGTGCCGTTGAACTTAGATGTGTGTTCGATCAGCGCCGACGCGGGGGCTTGGCAGCAGCGAACACGACAAAGCGCAATGTATCGAGAACGCTGTTTGTCCGCGGACCATTGGACACGCTCGAAAAACCGTCGAAGTCATTAGAAAGCTGGCAACTTTTGGAGACTGCTTGTTTATACCCCCCGCCCCCCGTCTTTTGTTTTTGTGGTTGTTCATATATCTGAGAGAGAAGCATTATGCTCGATCGTCCATGTGAACAAGAACGGCTCCAGGTGCTGTATTCTGCTGAAAATGTTGCCTATCACTATAAAACCATCGGTACGGATCAATGCTCTGCCCGGTATACGGCTTCGTTCTGCGTAATATTTGCGCAGTTACATACGAACTTCAAGTATTTTATCTCATTTTTATCAACTGCCGATAATGCTTGGCTCGACAACGTCATGGTCGGACAGTACGGTTCATAACAGGGCACTCGAGATTCACGCATGCGATAGGACTTGTCTTTTATCTGGAGCTAAAGGTAAAAAAACCAAAGGCGCACAACGAGTACGTCGACCTCCACAGCGTGTTGACACCATCAGGCCATTAGCCAGAAAGAGACGCCATCAAATCTGCAAGACATGCGTCTAAATCTAGAGAGCGTGGCATAACTCGAGAAAGCCGGAGCACGAACAGCATGTGGTGATGTCTGGCTATAAAACAAAGAAAGAGGACCTACCAAAGAGGCAGAGTATGCTTCTTGCCGAACTGCAATTCATGTACTGGGAAATATAAACACAATGTTTCCGGTGTGATGTGTGGAGTCGTTACTGTCACAAAAGCACTTTGACTTGGGCGAGTTGGTACATAATTGGAGAGGCTTCAGCGCAATTTAGACGAAGACCAGATGAGACAGCGCTCGTCTGTGTTCTGTGTGTCTCCTATGGTCTTCGTCTAAATCGCGCTGAAGCCTATCCAATCGTTACTGTCGGATCTGTAGACGAGGTATGTACGTGCGCATGTGCCTCTAAAGGCGCTTTGGGTATTGTGCACGTTAACGTCCCACATACCAAGTGAAACTGAAAACGCGATATTAGGAATAATCGCATTTATAGCCACCATCTTTTCGAGCGACGAACATTGTGAAGCAGTTCACCGGACATCGAATGATATATTAAAGTAAAAATGCACTATGTTTATATGACTTATGTGTATATGTACAAGCTGGAAAAGTATGTTGAGGTGCTCGTACGTACAGGTGGAGTAATAAGGAATTTGTGTCGGTGAGGGCACGCCCTTAATCTGAGGAGAGGCCCAGGAAGACTTGTGTGATCGATTGTCATTTTGTGCACTGCGTCTGATGGCAGAAAGATTTTGGGAGGGGCAAACGGCTGGTGAACCACCTCCTGCCGTACACCGCTGTTGCGTACAGTTTCACCCTGCTGACAATGAAATTGATGCCTCAAGCTGATTAATAGTAATAATAATATCCGTGGTTATACGTTCATAAAGCACGATGGTATTACGAGGCACGCCTTAGTGGAGGGCTCCGAAAATTTTGTCCATTTGGTGTTCTTGAGCATGCGCTGACATTGCAATGTACACGGGCCTTTAGCATTTTGCTTCCATCGCAATACGACTGCCGCGACCGGGATCGAAGCCATGACCTTCGGGTCACCTCAAGATTATTTGCTATGTTCTACCGGTTGCAAGCACACAAATGCCCATTTCCCTTACACATTGAAGCTTGCTTATTCATGGTGTATTTTACACGAAGGTGAAGCTGTTCTGCTCAATTGGAACTGTTCTATACTGTGTCATGCTGTCTAACTAGCTGCTGATGCCTGCCTAGTTTCTAGCATGAGAAACTGGTAGAAGTGGTGGTGGCGGGTAAGGACCGCAACAGCCAGGCACACAGCAGAAGTTATTAGAATTATTACTGCGCACATACCCACTGCGCAGACTGGTCATGAATAAAGTGCTTAAGAATGACTTTCAAGAAGAGGGCAATAAAAAAGTGAAAAGTTAACAACTACAGTAAAAATTTGTACGAGGGATGGAGCAGAAAAACGAAAAGCACATTACGCATAATTTAAAGAAATTTATATATAAAAATATAGGTAATAGTTTTAACAGAGAATCAGCTGGTTTCAGCACAATAATTTCGCACCACCCATCAAACATGCCTGCTTATGAAACCAATGATGCACACTTCAAAAGACGGAATTCGAGCCTCAGACAAGATTACAGATTGTAGCGAAGTTCGTAGTCCTGCATTGTGTTACACAGGGTCACCTACATGTCAAAAATAAACCATCATTTGTTTCCTCCAGTCCACATACAAGAACTGTGACGAGACAACGTAAGGTCGGCCACGTTCATATATCACTGAAGCTCTCACAAGACAAAGACCACAGTAGGTACCTTAGTCTCTTCTTGCCTTGTATTATGCCTAGATGCTGGAAGGTGGTGACCGAACAGAACTAAACCTTGGTTGATGAAACGTTTATCATCGGCCCGCGAGATCAGACACTTTAGAATTTTGGAGTTTGGCTGAGTTGGCGGCTTAAAAGTATGTGGATTTTCAGAGAAATAAGTCATTGCGCAATATGACAATACTTTCTTGATGTCATGCCTGCGATACCGAGAAGTCGTAATGTGAGCAGGTAAAGAATGAGAAAAGGGGTATATTCTAAGCATAGATTAATAATTTTCATGGGCGATGGGCCTTTATGACCACGTACCAGAACTAAACGAAACCTTCTGAAGCACGATTTGACCAATGCGTGAAACGTCGTCAAGACAGCTATTGTTGAACAGAACGCGGTCTTCGTCTTTTCTGAAACGTGCAAACAGGGAGGTCCTGACCTGCAGAGGCAGCGACAAGAACAGTAGGCGCGCCTACAAGAAAAGGGAGCGGAATATTCAAATAACAAGCATATGTGGCTGCTCGAGCACTGGATGAGCTGGTTGCTACCGAACACAAATTCAATTCCCAACTTATTTCGTACCAAACAGATCAAGTGACGAGAATCATACTGTACTAGAATGACGGAGCTCGTTTGCTCTCAAAGCTGTACACGCTTCACCATGTCAGTTTGTACGACACCGATGATCATCAATACTTTGTACAATTTATTTTCCCTGTTCACATAAGTATTCTGTGGGCCATAATTATTTAAATTATTCACTTAACCTACCTATTAGCCATAGAAAGCGTGACTGCGAGAACCAGCCTAGCATTGCTGGCGGGGAAGAAGCAGGAGCGTAATATCAGAAAGACAAAATCCACACAATATTCCTTACACGAAAAACAACACCCTGAAGGGTGTACAAATTTCGAGAAACGTACTGAAACCACACTGAAATGTTGGCACCCTTTTTGACGGGTGTGAAAAAAAGGCGGTGGACACCCTTCGCAAAGACAGTAGACAGTTGCATCTACTGGGCGCACCTTGAGCGTTTCCATCAGGCTGGCCACTTTGGCCTCGTCCAGGACCGGGGTCAGGGGCCTGATGAGGACGTTCACGGGAATATCGTGCACCTCGGCAATGTGGGCCGAGTGGATGCTGTAGTCGTGTGCCCTTCCAGTCGACATGGTCATCGCGCAGTGTTGTCGTGCCTGGTCGGAGTCACGAGACGTGCAGTGCGCCCGATGGTTCGCCCAGCTACGAGTGGTGGCGGGGCCTCCGAGAAGCAGCAATCGAAGCAGGCCGCCACACGTCAGTGCGCGCAGTGGCGAACTTACGACACCGCCGCTTGGGATAAACATACCAGGACAGGTTCTCTTGCTCTTGTCTCTTTTTGCCTTATCGCAATCTGGGCCGCCGTGGCCGGGCTTCCCCGATGGCCTCGAAAGCCCGGCCAAACAGGAAAGAAAGTGCCACGCCTTCGTCCGCCACGAGCCGCACTTGCCGCAGGCATTGTTTATGTGTTTGAAGCGCCACCTTGTGGCATTGCGGAGCGTCTAAATCAATCGTTTTAAGCATGCAGCAATAGATGTCGCGAGCCGGCACGGTTGAAAGCTGACGACGCTCCGTTCGGGTGCTGCGTGCGGTTTTTAGTGCTTATAGCTCACGGAGATGAAAATTAAAGTAATGCACAAACACTTCCATTGACAGTATTTCTCTGTGACAGTGGTGGTGTTTGTGATGATTATGATAAATATTGTTACTGTGGATATTGAATCAGGAGACCAAACTCTTCTAATTGCTTCACAAAGGTTCTTTGAGTAGGTACTTTCTGATGTGATAACACATGGCCGTTTCAGTATCTGAGATCTCATTCTGCCCTCTCCCAGTGCTCTTTGTCCTTGCGCAAGTTTTACAGAAATAACATGCAATTTTGTACTTTATAATGAGTTTTGTCCAGTGGGAACATGAGATCTCATCAACGAAAATTATGGCGGCATCATACAGCCTCCACAAGCTTAAAGAATAAGAGCAATAAACGAATACATTCGAAGGCAGTTATCTCCTAATTGTGCAGATGACTGTGCCTGTTCTTGCTTACACATGTAGTTGCTTGCCTTTTTTTAAAAATATTAACAGCAAAGCTGTTGTAGATCATTGTAGTTTGTGTGGTGTTGAAAGAACAAACAAACACAGGTGGCCTACAGCGGCAGAGGAATTGGACCAGCCAGCCAAACAAGTACAGCAGCTGCAAGCATTAAACAAAAGCTCTGCTCGGCGAACACACGAGAAAGCATAAGTGTGGCTTATTAGCGCTACCGGAAGCTAAACGAAGTGACCATAGAAAATGGCGCACAGAGAGTATTTATCGAGATAAAGAGAGAAAGAAAGCGATAGAAAAAAAGAAAAATAAAGACAATAAAGACATTAAAAGATCAAAAGAGAGAGAAATTCAAAGAAAGAAGAGTAAGCAATACAGAGAGAGAAAGGAAAAATTTTGAATTGACGAAATGAACTGCAACATTGATATACGATTCCTCATTCAGATAACTCAAAGTAGCAATTGTCAAGGACCCTCCTAACAACACGTGCAAGAGGCAAAAGAATCTTGGCAAGCAGTGAGTAATATATTTTGCACAGTTTCTGGTGCGTCAGTAATAAAGGGAGAGAATAATCATAAATAAAAATCATGATAATCACAAATGCAAAAAAGTGAGATTAAAAAAGAACACAGGAAAAAAATCACAAAGATAATTTGTAGAAACTCAAACAAAGATAAATGTCGCGCACAACTAGCAACGTGAACAAGTATCAAATATAGGCTAAATTAAAACATTTAGAATTGGTAACATTACCTTGCGAAATTGTACCGAAGACTGAACCTGATGAATTCTATATGCGTCTGACAAAGTGTTAATGAAATGCTCCTTAGTTCTACGTTTGAATGATAATAATAAAGATGTATTTATATCCGACAGCAATGACTTTAAAAGTGATAGGCCTGAAAATGCGAGGGTAAATTTCTCATCATTTGATATGTGGTGTTTAATGTCCCAAAACCACCATATTTCTTCAAGCTTTAGGAATAGATAGATTAGGTTGTTTTAAAATGCTTTTTATTATTGCTACTTTTGAGGCTGGAGCGAGTAAAACCTGGTGTATTGAGCTCGGTATTTACAAAAAGAAACAATAGTAGTAAGAACTTATGATTCAACAGCATACGTAATTACAAAACACTTAGAGAACGAAATACGGGAAACAAGCTGAGGACGTTGTGTGCGATTGAACTGTAATTATTTGCAATAACTACTTTGGAAAAACGGCACGTCATGAAAATGCGTGGCGTTTGTATTACCTGAAGATTAGAGAATGAGAAATACTTGTGTATGTGCGTGTAGTATGAGGGCATAAGAATGTTGATAAAACACAAAACAAACCTCGCGAGTGTTTATGGTGTAAATACTAAATGAGATTTTTTTGAATGAGTGATTGAGTATGGCACTCGAATTGAATAAACTCATCTGCAGCAACACCAAGAAATTCAACAGACACAGATCTTGCAATCAGATCATTATTTAGGGAAACTGTAGCAAAATGATTGAGCAAAGTATTTGAGGAACGGAATACCATAAACGTTTTCTTGAATGGGCCAATTATTATCTCAGTTATTACACACGATGAAAAAATATTTGCTAGGTCGGCGTGAAATATATCCTCCAATGCATCAGAATGTTTATCATAAAAAATTATGGTGGTTTCTTTATAAAAAAAAAGACAGTGTGCATGTGTAAATGTCAAAGGCAGATATATGATAAATATGAGAAATAAAAGTAGCGCAAGTACTGATCCTTGAGGAACTTCTATATTTGTGACTTTGAATGCGGAGACGACTGAATCCATTTATACTCTACATAACAGGTCTATTAATGTTACGAAATAATCATAACAGAAGACCAGAAATAACGTATAATTCAACTTTGCTTAAAACTATACGATGGTTGATTGAATCAAAAGTCTTAGAGAAACCAATAAAAGAGCACCGACTGAAAAGCATTGGATGGTGGCTAATTCAACGCTTTCAGCAAAAGCAATAAGTGCTTGTTCAATAGACTAATATTCTCGAAAGCCAAATTGATCATCAGGTAAAAGACTGAATTTGCAGAAGTATTTAATTGCCGTCGGGATCATGTCCCATATATATATATATATATATATATATATATATATATATATATATATATATATATATATATATATATATATATATTATTTATAATTAGGAATCGAATCAAGGAGCGCACTTATGAAAATTTGGTAATTGTTAACTCTACGTATCGGCCGTGGCACGGCCTTCGTCAGGATTAACAGAAATACGAGTATGTGGCCGCTTTTATGGGCAGGTACGAACACGTCAGTACAAAACACGTGCGATCAGCATGTGAATGTCACAAAAATTCTTTGAAACAGCCGTGACTACACTAAATAAACCATTAAAAATGTAATACAATAGACAAGATTGTGGGCATGTAAAAGGCATTTGTAACATTCACCATTGACGACGAGGATCAAGCATGAAAAAAATAAATAAATATGTGATAACCTTTAGGAAGTATACAACACGTCAGGGATGCTTTAAATATTTCTCAAAATTTCGCACGTCAGGGCATCGTAGAAAGGCATGACACTTTGCCTACGCATTCGTTAATGCCGGATAACAGACTGTTGGACTTGTGAATCAAGAACGATTCTCGAATTTCGCAATCATGGTGCGATTTAAAGCCCGATTCTAATAGTGTCACCATAATCTTGTCAAACGAATGACCTGGTAGATGAAAATGCTTGGACAATGGAAGATGTGGCAAACTGCTTACGTGTGATTTGTGGTTGTTGAAACGGATGCGAAAAATAGCTTGCCTGTGAGCAAGCAAGTTATTTTTCACCCACTTTTCTTTCTTCTTATTTATATTACATCGGTTCTAATAACTTCCCTATACGTTTCTTGGCATTATTTTCCGTTAGATCTCGTTGTATTGTGTGAAAACACGTAAAAACGAGCAACTATATATATATATATATATATATATATATTATATAATATATATATATATATATATATATATATATATATTGCCACAAAGACCACTCTGCTATGACAGCGTATTTCAGCCTACTAACGTTCTATTTATTGCAGCATTTGCGGCTGGTGGTACGCCGATCGCGGGGAAAAAATATCAGCCTGTTCTCTGCATTACGATTGAGATGGTGTGAAGGGCGCGCATCGTCCGTGCTCTACGAGGCGTAGGCACCTATGCGCGCGCACTTTATTTGTGATGGGGGCAGCTTGTACACGGTCGTCTTTCATGAAAGGAAACACGTGGACGCGTGGCCTGCGCTCTGCGGCGGCTGCTTACAGCCCCATCAACCAACAGCAAAAGGAAACATCTTCGTTTTCAGCGTAGTCTGTTGCCGAAAAAAATAATAACTAGTTATGGCGGGTAGACAAGCGCTGCTAAATTGCACTCGTTTTCTGCTCACGCCTGGAGTGCGTAGTCCACTGCCAACATATCAAACGTTGTACGCGACCACGGCGCAGGCTGCAGTAATCGCCCGATATCGCTCACCGGGAACGTAATCTAGCAGTGCTTGTCTACCGGTGATAACTCATTACCTTGCTTGGCCATAGATGACGCGAAAAGCAAACGTGCTTTCTTCACTGGTTGGTTGATGGTGCTGTAGGCAGCCGCAGCAAAGCGCAGGCCACGCGTTCGCGTGTTACCTTTCATAAAGAACGACAGTGTACATCGCGTGCTTTCACCAAAAATATTGCTTTTATGTTTTAGAGCATACGAAAGTCACTGTGGTCGCTGCAGATGCCTCGTTTGTGAAAGGAATGCACAGTTCAAGCACAGTGAACTAAGAACTGTGACACTTGTTAGATCACGCTCGCCCTTTGTATGTGCCTGTGCGTACGTTTCGTGCGTCTTTTGTGTTCGAGCAGTGCGTTAAGTGTCGAGCTGTGAACATTGTTAGACCATGCTTTCTTGGATGCGTGTTCTTTTCGGGTGTATTTCGTACTTCGGCAGTGCACGGCACGTTTTATGGGGTTGTTGTTCTTCGTGGGACATTCCACTCTGCTATTATTGCATTAATTGCTTCGCACAAGTGACGAAACTGCGGCTCTTTGTTTTTACGACCACGTTACTAAGTGAGGACAAAAGGCAAATTGGATGATTATTGCTTGTGCACTCATGGTCACGTTTTATATACACTGGCACAACTTCACCTGTTTTGAGGTGATTTGAAATACCCCATCGTAAAATAATTTGATTATTATACGTGCCTACGCAAGTGATATTTTTTTACACTGAAGCTTGCTTCAGTGGTGTCAGTACCTGAACCGGTTGTTTTAAGCGATTTGATGATATTACGAACTTCTTGTGGCGTTGTTAGGAATAAGGACAACGAATGAAAACATCGTAAAAGAGTAACATCG